CCAACATTGCCAATTATTTATGAGGCAATGGATAGAGCAAAAATAGCTATTCAAAAGTAGGTGAAATCTTGGAAAACAATTTGGGAAGTGATTGATAATAGATGGTACAATCAACTTCATCGGGATTTACATGCGGCAGGTAATTTAAAATATTACATCTAATTTAAATATGTAATATATTTATTTATTTATTTATTTTCTAATTTTGTTATTTTATTGTATTTAGCATATTTTTTGAACCCGATCCTTCAATATTCTGGAACTTGTGAGTTTAATCTGGATGAAGTTCGAAGAGAGTTAAAGAACGTCATTGCAAAGTTGGAGCCAAATTTAGATGCACAAGTTGATTCAATAAATGAGGTATTCTTTTGATTATTTTATTTATTTATACTAATCAACAAATTTTAAAATTTTAGCACTTGTGTATACATTATTTTTGTAGATCAAAATTTTTGCAGACAAAAAGGGAGGCTTTGGAAGTGCTATTGCAGCAAGAGCATTACCAAAATCTTTACCAGGTTTCAACTTAATTCATACTTACATTAACATCTAAATCATATAAATGAAGTTAATATTTTTATAATATTAAAATAATAATAATAAATGAATGTTATTATTACTTTGTTTGTTTAACTGAATGGTGGCTTAACTACGGTGAAGATGCGCCAAATTTAAGGAATATTGCAGTGAAAATATTGAGTCAAACCTGCACATCCTCTGGTTGTGAGCGAAATTGGAGTACATGATCATTAATTCATACAAAACTACGCAACCGTTTGGCAGTTAAAAAATTGCATAAATTAGTTTTTGTGCATTACAATATGCGATTGAAGGTGAAAAATTTGATGCATCAAAGAGATACTGATGATTTCTACAACCAAATTGACTTGAATCACATTTTTCACCAAGATGATATATTGGATGATTGGATAAGAGAAAATGAACAACCCACATTGCCTGAAGATAATCTGGATTGGTTGGATAAGGGCATTCATCAAACTGAATCAGAAAGTAGTGAATATCAAGAACATGACAACGATGATTTTGGTGATACATTGTCCCAATATATTACCAAAAGAAATAAGAAAGGTCTTGCTGCATCCTCAAGTAGGAAACAAAAAAGTAAGACTAAACAAACCAGTAAGCAGACTGTTCCGTCATCTTCAAATAAAAGTGACAGCAGTAATGATGATGATGACAATGGTGACAATGGAGATGGAGGGAACAATTCTTTCAGGCATAGTGGTTACAATCAAGATAGCCAACAAGCAGGAGGTATGTCATGGGCTCAAGGACAAGATAATTATTATGCCACTCAAGATACTGATCATGGCTATCGTCCTGGTATAGAAGCACAACGTCAATTCCTCAATGATTTAACTCAATTTTCAAGTGAGGATACTTTCTCTCACCATTTAGGATCACAAAGATATAGAGGAGTCAATGATCAGATGCAAAATTTGGGTATATACCCAACTTATGAGCATGAATCTAGTCAAAACCGTAGTACTAGTCAATTGGGATATGACTATGACCAATCATATGGAATCACTCCTGACTATTACAGTGGATATCGGCCATTTGACAGACCTGGACAGGTTGAAAGGTCTACTAGCATTCATGGTAGTGGATACTATGAAAAAAAATAGATAAGTCTCATGATGGTTCTTCTTTTGATTCCAATAACATTGGATTTTATGGTTATGATTCTACTGCATCATATGGTACCAGCGATAGTGTTAACTATTGAGGGTTTGGATACTACCATCAACAAATTATCTCCAATCCAGAAGTTCTTCCGTCCAATGATTATGGAACATCTAGTCAATCCTCACATCCAGTAAATACACCAGATAACTCGTTTACACTACCTACTCAAGGTCCTATGCCACTTCCATATCTGTTTTACCATTCATCGACAAATGAGGATGATTTTGAACCACATCATCATTCTACTTGGTAGTAACAGGTACGAAAATATAAAGTACTAGTATATCTTTTTATAGATTTACCTTTTATCTAATATGATTTCTTTTTATTTTTGACAGGAGATTGATCAAAATATTCCAACTTTATGCTATAAATAAATCTTTAGTTTGTATTGTTAATGGTTGATATTACTTTTGCAATTATTAGTTTTAAAATTGTGGTCTATGTTATTTTGATTTTATTTGTGATGCCATTGTTTTAAATAATTAAAAGTACTTATCGTGTATAATATGTATAAAAATAGTACATTTTACAAATTTTCTTTTGTTATTTTTTATTATTTTTGTTTAGCATACTTTTTTTATATTATTAACAGTTTTTAGAATATTAAATGCTTTAAAATTTGCGTCTCATCAAGACCGTGATCGATATGCCGAGACCGATGTGGAACGTTCCACGCCGCGACCGCGACCGCGACTTTGAACCATGCTTGGAGGACGTCCAGCAAATGTCACTATGGTTTCGAACGTGCACTTTTGGAAGATTGAATGAAGAAACTGATAGCTTATGCTACAGTTTGAGCAAAATTGCTCTTTTGAATTTTTGTGATATGGAGTGGAACTACGCCACTTTGTAGTGCTAAATGCACTCTTGTAAAGATTGGAGCCTTTGCTCCAAAAGTGTACAGTTTTTCATGTTATAAAATTTCTATCGTTTCGGAAAAAAAAAAAAAAGGTAAGATCATAAAAGGCCATATTTCTGGACTGTCATTACATAGCAAGAAGGTTGCACAAGTTTCGTCGGTGAACAAGAGAATAAATCTTTTTTTTTTGGGGTAATCTCAGGGAATAAATTTTTACGCTCAATAATGATGCAGCAATATTCTCATTAATAATCAGTTTCTAAAACACAGATTATCCCATTAACTCCACTTTCATATCATTACTGTCAGCAATAATGTTGATCCATGTTTGAGATAATCCTTTGTTTTTGGTTTCTTGCTGCATTCATATTTCAGTTTTCACCTAACACGCGCGCACACACACAAAGATAGACATATGTATTTGGTTCTGGTTGCATTCGTATTTCAGCTTTCACCTAATGCATACACACACACACACGTTGCACGTTCAGCATGAACTTGTCATTGAGCCATTTCTGTCTTCTTGAACCTCTGGAGCCCCAGTGAAAAATTTGTTGTTCGGTTGTTCCCACTATTTCTAGACTTTCTTGAACCAATAGTGTCTGTATTACATTTACATCGTTGACAAAAACACCTGCAGAAAACAGAGAATACAGAGGTTCTACATCTTTTTTGTGCTATTGCAAGTTGATTTCTGGATTTCTACCAATTTTTTGAACGTGGCCCTTTATTTCTCGAGTGTTGTTTGTGTACATACTAGTACATTTCAAACCACATTAGGATTGGTTTGCTTATAAGCACACATCTAATTCTGGGCTCGAAGCTTATTCGTTGCCAAGTCTGAATCTTGAAGTTATCAAGTTGGAAGCCATTGGTTTGTGGAAACCATGGATTCACTTGTGAGTAATTTGTGGGCTCCTTCTTCATTTGCTTTAACAGAGTTCAAGCCTCAATTCATAGCTCAAATTAGATGTTCAGCAACTCAGAAGTCCTCTATCTTGTCTGCTGACACTTGTAGACTTAACGGAGTTTCTTCAGCTAAGGAGCAGGAGAGAACTATTCTGTTGATAGATAGGGGGCATGGTCATTTACCTGCGGGTGTAAGTACTGGAGAGAAGAAGAAGGGAGAGGAAGAAGTTATGCAAGAAAAGCTGGAACCGTTGTGGGATGATGGATATGGAACTCGAAGTGTGAAGGATTACCTTGACTTGGCAAAAGATGTTATTAAGCCTGACGGTGGACCTCCACAGTGGTTTTCGCCTATAGAATGTGGCTCTCCTTTGAAGAATTCACCTGTTCTTCTCTTTTTACCTGGTAAACGATGCTTTGTCACAAGTATTGAACTCTTATCTGCAACTTTTCTTTTGTAGAAAGTGCATAGAAGATGCATGATTAGTCTAGATTTTAGCTCATGTTTTTATGGCCTGTAGAGAAGAATTAAATGAAATAAAAGTTTTAAATAGACATTTCCTAGTTTAGGATACTTACTAGCAAATTTGCTTTGGTTTGTGTAGGGATGGATGGTCTTGGATTGGGGCTCATATTGCATCACAAAACTGTAGGAAGGTCAGTCTTGGTTGTATAAATACTTGCTTGTGCGTTTCTTAGCTAACTGGTTCTAGGCTTGTAGCAGTCATTATAATAGCAACTGGTACTAGCACTTTAGTCAGTTTAACACCACTATACATGAACTCCTGGAGTAAGAACTGAAACTTGTAGGCACTTTCTCAATTAGCTTGCATCATACTTGGACTCCATCCATGTCTTCTTAGGTTCTTTGCTTAAACAACATTCTTCTTTCCATGTGTCAAAGTAACTCTGTCCAAAGAGAATTAGTTTACTTTTCTTGATAAATGCTACACAGACATTGAGTCATATTTTCTTGTCAAACTCAATGGGGTAGTTAGATGTGTGTTGAATAAAAAGAATGTCTAGATAGTAAACTTGAAATGACCAAAAGTACTGCAGTTGAACCTTGGGAGTACATGTTGATCAGCCCATACAACTAATAACTCTGTCATCCTTCTTGTTATCATCCCATGGCTATGAACTTTCATCATTTTACCAAGGACACAGATGGTGCAGAATGAAGGATAAGATGCATTTGAAGAGGGATATATTATTTGGTGGTTCAGCTATGTGTTATCATTCACTACAATCCAAAAATGTAATGCTTTGGCTTATTAAATTATCACAATGTCAGCCCTTTCTATTGTTGTCTTATGGTTTTGAACTTAACATCATTTTACCTTGGTGGTTCATCATATAAGGTGCACCTGAGAAAACATGGTGGGTTGTTGGCATTCAAGTTGCTGCATCATCAATTTCAATCCTATATATATATATATATAAATTGAATATATGTTAAACATTGCAATAGAAGCCAGAGTAATTGTTATTGTCAGTTATCTGCAATGCCTCTATTTATGGTCAAACGTACGCTTACCCTTGGTCTCAAATTGTACCCTAATTGAGGTAGTTGCAATGGGACTTTTATATATTCATATTCTAACTTCTTTGATTCACAAGTGCTCCTCTTTTGTACCTGGATCAGATATCAGTCTTACTAGTGAAATGGCAGATTATGTTTCATGCATTAACCAAGAAAGAGTGCTTTGAAACCTTGCAGCTGTGAATATCACAGTCTATTGCAGTTGAGGTATTTGCTCCAGCTGATTTTGCACACCTGTAACAATGTTTACAGCAATACAAGTTGAGTTTTGGCCCAAAAAGTTTTTTTTTTTTGTGGGGGACTTTTATGCGCTTTCTCCATTTGAATATCCTTCTTCTGAATCAACATATGATATTCTAATAGGACTTCCAATAGTTAACATGATCTTTTTTTGATCTTTCTTAACTCCTGATCTGGGAGATCAGATTGTGACAGTTAGTATATTTCTATCTATCTATCTGGATTGCTGTATTTAGGAGGTTTATGATCTATGTTCTGGATCTTTTTATAAATTCAGGACCTGTCTGAACTCCTGATCTGGCAGATCTGATTGTGGAAGTTAGTAGATTTCTGTTCATCAATCTGCGATGCTGTATTAAGGAGGTTTATGATCTTGGTACTGGATTGTCAGACCAATATGTGCCAAATGAGGAACTTCTGGAACGTAGTGCAATTACATGACCATCGTCGTTTCTCTTACTCTACTTTGGTATGGATTACTAATGGATGATCACTCTTGCAGGGTTTTTGAGGTGTGGTGCCTTCACATTCCTGTGAAAGATCGAACACCATTTGAAGGCCATTGAATTTTTTCTCCTTGGAGATATTTTTTCTTTTTATTCCAATAACATTTTGTTACTAAAGAGAAGATCACATTCTGATCACATTTACAAATTCATTTATACTGCTTTATCAGATTATTTTCTCATGGTGATATAAGGTTTTGCTCTTTATAATTTTTATAATCCCCACCACACTCTTCCATCCTCTGGTTATCTTCTGTTTATGTCACCAACACGTACTCTTGAGTGAATGCAAAATTTGAACGGATTCCTACCTTGTAAGTTCTGCTCTGATGATTTAAAACTCCAAATTTAAGCCTAGACAATCTCCAAATGAAGATTCAGAATTCTGAACAATAGACAAATGGAGCTATCAGATTTATAACAAAAGAAAGCTCTAATGTACAGGATCCTGGAAAACTGAGTCTTTTATTGGAGAAGTATTTAGTCTTATGAAAAGCAGACGAAGAACTGGTCAGATTCAAAATGACCAAGGTTGTATACAAATCTCATTCTACCACTGCTGCATTGTAAGACTACACTGGTTGTGAAGCAGGAGTATGGAATCATGCAATTGAAATGACTTGGATGTATTAGCTTTTTCCTAGGGGCACGAACTGTTTCTTGTGCAAATACAGTTCTCTATATGACTAAATGAGACCACAATCTGCCTGACATTAAAAAAACCAAGAATCTTGGAGAGTTTAAAGTGTGAACTCAAACACCGATACTATAGTTTTGGGGATGTATTTTTTGCAAGTGACTGAAAAACCAGAATTGCTTGTGCTTGGCAAAGCAGTCACATGGACCTCAGCAGTGGGTTATGATAGAATTGCTTGTGCTTGGCAGAGCAACTTTATTGGACTTTGTATTGAGTGGATTGTTCCTGATGACTCACAATCAGGAATTACCAGTAAGATTGAGCTAGGGCCAGCCCATAAACAACTTGGGGATATTTATATTCCATAATGAAGTCAAAAGCCAAAATAAATTTGTTCTTGTAGTTACCATGATCAAGATGTTCCTTATACATGGCTGCAGTGGAAGTATAGGTAGAAATTAAATGAGTTACTCGTTAGAAAAACTCACAATATTTTCCTCTCCGATGTAGTCAAAATCCCAGAAAATACCGAGAAATGGTGGTCTGACAATAGTTCTTTAGATTATCATTATTATTATGTTTGAATTGTTAGTGCTTGCCATTCAAAAGATGTCATGGAATGATACCTTTTGAACAACTTACTCTTGAGACCTTAATATCCACTGTTATGCCTTTTGTTTTCTCGATGAGATTTGGCTTTACTGTGAAAAATTCTCTGGTATCCTTGATTTCCTCCCTATAGTAAGTGAGACTGCGATATTTCTTCAGCTTGTGTTATTCATCAATAACCTAACTGTAAACAGAGATGGTAATCTTTGTTGAGGAAACTGTGAGGAATCAACATGCTTCATCTCCAAATAAGCCAATATATCTTGTGGGAGATTCATTTGGAGGATGCTTGGCACTTGCAGTTGCTGCACGTAATCCAGCTATTGATCTCGTTTTAGTATTAGCCAATCCAGGTATTTCTAAGTATACAGTTCATCATTCTGTTTTATTTCGTGAGTGTTTGCTGAGTAAATTTACATGTTTCATGGTAACTTTTGTTTGCTGCCATTTTTTTTCAGCAACGTCATTTAACGGGTCACAGCTGCAATCTTTGCTGCCTTTCTTGGAGGCTATACCTAATGAACTTCATTGTACAGTCCCTTACCTTTTAATCTTTGTCCTAGGTAAGTTTGTACTCTTTAAGTACACAAGCTTACTTTTCAACTGTCTCAGCATAGAATGTGAAATTTTACATGGTTTATTCACTGATCATTCTCTAGATATAGTCCTATGTGCTGCTCGCGTAAGCATTACCCCAAAGCACAATGACATCTTTTAACATTTTGTGCTTTTAAGACTATTCCTTTTATGTAGCTCACTACAAAATTGTACGTGTTGCATGAAATATGTTGCGTTCAGCTTAAGGTGATTGGATTCATTCTAAGCTACACAAGAAAACCTACTTGAGAAATTTATGTCTGATATATGAAAATTCCTAGGTTGTTGCATTTTCACCAGAAATGTCTCGTTATGACTTTAGTAAACCATAACTGTGTAGTGGCACATATAGCCTCTCAAAGAATAGTTTTACTAGTTACGCTAGCATTGGAAGAACAGTTATGCTTAGACACAAGTGAAAATGCATGTTTAAAAATGTTGGCAAATGTAGTCTTCTTGAGTCATCTTTTGGTCTATCATGCTACTTTGATGTACAAAGGGAATATTAGTTCTTGAACAGACATGACCATGCATCCTTGAATAAGAGAAAGAGTTCTTTGTCTTCATAGTTCGATGCTTGAGATATTGCTATGCTTATCTGCCCCTCATGTCGACCTGATTCTCACTTGAGTTACATTTCTGAAAATTGCTAGACATGAAAACTTCCAGGCTTACTTGTAGATATACGTTTCAATTATTTGCTCTTTGGTAACCTCATATCCACATGGTTTCCCATCATTTCCACAGCGTATTGATATTGTACACAACCACACGTCAAAATGCCTAGTTTTGCATGTCTGTAGATGTTAAGGTTAATGATTATTATCCGTAAGAGTAATTTAACATCATTTGTAGTTTTACTGAGCCTCAAAATGTTCTCATCCCCTGAAATGTGTCATTAACTTCTTTGCAAAGCAATGAGGATGATTCGAGTTAGAAATGAATTCTTTCTCAGAATCATTTCTCTTATTTTTCTATTGAAGAAATAACCATTCTAAATTTGCTGTTGTTGTGTCTCTTTTGGTGCCACGATGGTTATCCTTCCTCCTGAAAGTTATGATCATTTGACGTCCTCTGTAATTTCCTTTTCCCTTCAATTTTGTTTTAGTTGGCGATGTCAAGTTCGTATGGTTTTCCTGGCTCTAAATAAAATACTATCCTATTGTTGTATTAGGTGAACCAGCGAAGATGGCAATGGTCACTGTTGATGCTACACTTCTTCCTCGAATAGGTCTTGAACGGTTGTCTGGCAATCTTACAGCTTTGTTACAACGTCTTTCAGTAAGTTGCTTAATTTTTTTTGTTTAATAGTATCTTGCCCACTGCTAGAAGCCCTTATTCACATTTTCTCAATTTTTTGTCAACTCTTGCTTTACTTGTTAATATCTTATAGAATTGTTGCACATCATATCAGGTTAATTAAAAGTCTTACTGGATTCAGTAGTTTGTTAATTTGACGAGTTTCATGTCCATGTATAAATTTCTTTGCTTTTGAGATTTTGGCCTCACCTCTTAAGTTAGTCTGGATCCAGTTTGAAAATTTTTTTACTAGTTGGCACAAATAGTGAATGCGGAGGCAGAGAATTTCATGAGATATTGAGAAACATCTAGGAAAGCATTGGAATGATAGAGAAAAAACTGATCAAGGTAATTAGCTGACCTTAAAAGCAATAGAACATGAATGTGGCCAAAGTTGAGCAATAAAGGGATATGAAACAGCTCATTGTTTATGCCACAAGGGGGCTGAAAAAGGAAGTCAGGATGCAATAGAGGCTGTTTACTCATTACTGTGTAAAAGAGAAGATGTTGATGCTAAGAGCTCAGACAATAAAATGAGGGAAAATAGACAGAGAAGCAGAAGGAAAGGAGAAGATGAGGGAAGAAGCCACATCAAATCTGTTCTCACATTTCCTATTTTGTATTCCTTAAACCCGAAACTATGATGTGACAAACTCAGCACAATTTGCAAGGAGTCCTAATATTAAAACTATACTCCAGATGTCATAGCATGAATTCATGTGTTTTAATCAAAATCTAGCAAAGGTGAACTTTGATGAGATTATTGTCATAGATTGTATGGTTTCCCCAAATGGACTCCTTGACTCGGGAGTTCCAGACTCTATAATTTTATGCTCCCCATTGCTTGCGGATGCACATCAGTTTAGAAAGGAGAAATCACATTTACACTTGAAGCATTGAGTTGTGCTTGTCTGATTTCAGTTGTTTTCTGTCAGGAATTGGCTGATATAATACCTAAGGACACTCTCCTCTGGAAGCTCAAACTTCTCAGATCGGCTGCCAGTTATGCTAATTCCCGTCTTCATGCTGTTACAGCAGAAGTACTAGTGCTTTCAAGGTTTCCCTTGTCTTGACGTACACAAACTTTAACATGCATAATGTTTCTTTTTTCTGTTTTTTGCTTGCTTGATTATCTTGTGGAGTGCTTTATCCTCTGACATCCTGTGATACTGCTTTAACAATGCCTCTCTATCCTTCTTTGTAGTTGAAAAGTGTACTACCAGTATGAATACCCGTCTTTTTGTGCATTTCAGACTCTACTTTTGGTTGAAAGAAGGAAAATTCAAGGGGTAAGAGAAATCATGAAGAATATATTTTGTCTAAGAATTTTCCTTTGCACGGTGCTTGGTTCTATTAAGTGACAGGCAACAGGTAGTGGAGTCTGCAAAGCATTCCTTCTTTCTCAATTCTTGACCATTTAGATGTTCTCATTCATTTTTGTCAAATAAATGTAAAGGAGGAAAATGAGAACAAGCCTTCTATTAATTTTATCATTTACCAGTTTTGTGTGGGGACATTGGGCTATTCTGACTGTGCTCTGACAATATAAGGCAATGCTGAGCATTCCAGATTTGAATTGTTATGTAATCCCTCTGTTCCTGATGATTATATCTTAAGTGATATTTTTAAGTCAAAGTAGCTAGGAAGATTTGGTATTCCACTTTGCAGATTGCTTTTTTGAAAAATCGGTACTAGTTGCTTTTGCCCTGAACAAAAATCCATTGCATATTTGCTTGAGTATGTAATTTTGTATTTTGTACCTTTGTTAGTGTTTCTATTTGATCTTTAAAATATATAATATATATCTAATACAATATACGCACATGCACAGCATATTAAAGATGCATATTTTTTATTAAGTTTTGTTTGTATTACATACTTTTATTACTAATTTGTGAAAGTACTTTGTTGTTTAAAAATTATATATACACTGAATATTTGATTCAGAAATTTTCAAAATATAAATTTGATAACTATAAATCTCTTGTATATACACTAATATGTATGCAGGCAAATATTGATTTCTTCTGTTGTTCTTTTTTAATTTCTAACTTTTATCTAATTCTATTCTAAATTTTCAATGTATTAGCACTTTTACCACCACCACTACCAACATCTTATAAGATCATTACATAATTTTGATATGCCAAATGGTCAATCAAGAGTCAAAATATTGCCAATTGCGAATGGTAGGATCATCATCCTTATCCTTGTCAAAACAACGTTTTATATCACTTAACGAAGCTACTCTATAGAAATCTTTCTTGATTGGTTACACAAAATTTGGTCAAAAATCTGATTCTTCCAATGGATGATCATCTTCTAATCCTAATTTCAATGCCATCATTAATTTCGGTTCTAATTGCCATTAGGGCCCTCTTCTTACAAAGTAGAGACATCTCAGTTTCGCCTCTGCAAAGAATCTCCTCGTGTATGCAGTTCAAGACCTGACCATGTAGTTTTACTATCAAAATAGCATTTTTTTTCCCATTCTATGAATGCTTTTGAATCTAATTCTTCCATGCAAGGAATGTCGCCAATTAGGACCATATGACATCTCAATTTCTTTTTTACAAAGAACATTATTTCCTATGCAGTTCATGATCTGATCATGTAGTCCAATTGCTAAAGTAGCATCTTTTTCCCATTCTCTAAATACTTCTTAATCTAACTCTTCCATGCAAGGAACACCTCTAACATCTAGTGAGAATTTTCAAGACCAATTAACATGATTAAGCAAATCGAGATTGGTTTCGAGAAAATGATTGAAAATCTTATGAATAATTTATTAGTATTAAATACAAAGAAAGAGGACGAACAAGACAAAGAATAAGAGAAAAACAATAAAGAAGAAAGAGCACATTAGCAAACACTATGATGTATTTGGTGTGGAAGTAGGTCAATATTTCTATTGTCAAATAGGGGGTTTTCAAGTCGATAACCAAGTATTTATTATTTGTTGGGGAGGGAAAGATAACCACAAATAAAGTCAAGTGCCAAAAAAAGAACTAAAAAAATACAAGCTGATCATCTACCAAATCAATTATCTATTGGAATATAAGTTTGATGATCAAATTGATTTGAAGTTTTCTTCCAAGAAAATTCAATCAATAGTCTCAAACTTTGAACTTGGAGAAGAATGTGGGATCTTCACTCACAAATCAAGGGGAACATGTAGAAGAGAACATAAATAAATTGCTCATGGCAATTAAGAAAATGAAGAAAAAAAATAGGTGCCAATAAGAATAAGATTAAGAGATGTGATAATCAAAAGATAATGAAATGTAAAACAAGTTAACCAAAGTAAGAGTAAGAGACGGAAATTAAACTACCGGAGTTATCGCTTTAACTTATGATAGAAGAAAATGAAAGAATGCTAAGTGACAAATTGATATAATAAATAATCACATCTTTAATACACTAATTACTTCTAATAAATATATGTTTAACATTCCTACTTAACTTTGGTGTTTGTTTTTTAGCAATTGATACATGGTTTATGGTTAGAATACATAGATGCTGAATGCTACAAAGTCAAAGACAATCTCTGGAAGGTTTACCTTTGTCCTTTTTGGAGTCTTTCTTAATATGTTCTTTAATTTTAATTAAAACAAGCTTCTAAGTAACTAGAAATTGTGACCTGATTAAGATGAAATTGACCGGTGTCGTGCCTGTGCAATAATAAATACCTGCTTAAGAAAAATAAATTTTCTGTGTATAGTAGTAAGCAGGGTCGAATCCACAGGGACTGGGAAAAAATTCGATTCTTTTTAAATTCGAGACACGGGGGATTTTTATCAAAATGAAATTAAAAATAAACAATTTAACAATTTAACTAAAAATAATTAACCAAAAATAAATAATTAATTAATACAATTGTAAATAGCAATTAAATAGATGATAAATAAATTCTAGCCAAGGATACAACTACGCAGACACAGTCCATTCATCCGATCATTGATGCAAAGAAGGTTCACTTAATTTTATTAACAGGTTAGTTATAGTCGTCGATAAGCTCTAACGACCAGCTTTTCCTTAATTTATTGATAACCAAGGTACGACCATTGATTACCCCTAACCAGGAAATACTCCTAGGTACGACCATAGGAATTAATTTCCTAATTGCATTAAAAACTAGAAAAGCCTAACCCAAATTAATAACACGCTACGAGGGTTATTTAAATCAGATTGCATGTTCCCCTAGTATGTGAAAATACTAATTGTCACTAATATTAACCAACTAAACAATTAAGGATTTAATTGATTAATTTGACAAGAGATTAATAAGTCAAATTGCACATCGGGCCCTTGATATCCAATTAACAAAATAATCCCATGGAAATTAAAATAGAAAACATGCAAATATTAACAAATTAAGGAACACGTAAAATTAATTAGATCTCACAGATATATGGGACTGCGTCTTCGTATTGATCCTTGACTAGAGGAGAAAATTAGCCACGCCTCATAAGAAAATTCCCACGCAATTCAATTGAATTCATAAACATAAATAACTCTTGCTAGTCTCCGTAATCTAATGAAGTAGAACTAGTTTCATGAAAGAAACTAGTCTAAAGGAAGAGACGGAAGAAAAATACAAAACAAACCAACTGAAGAGATCTTCACATCCCACAAAACATGAAAGAACAAAATCCTATTTTTATGACTAAGACTACCTATCTTCCTCCCTGTCGAGAGAAACTAATCTAATGTCTTATATAGCACTCGTCTAGTGCCTTTCCCTTATTTTATTTTAGCACTAGTTTCCTAAGAGAACTAGTGACGTAGGAAGCAAATTAGAAAAGCTCAATCATCAAAGCCAAAGCTCAATCATCAAAGCCAACACCTTGACTAATGAGTATATCTCCCACAATAAGAACAAACTTTCTACGTGGTCCCCGCTTGATTTCTTATTGCTAGTGGATTTCATCATATCAATTCAATTCTTCAGCAATTCTGTTGGTTTGCACAATTTGGGCTGATGGTGGAAAGCTTTTAGAAGCTTTCACGTGTGGAGAAATCTTCTCACGAAGGTCCCCTTTTAGCACTTTTCTGCTCCACTTTCTGAAATTATATCCAAATACCAAATATAAATATATATTGACAATTAAAACAATATTTGGCAAGGATAAAGAGGAAAATTAATGATAAAATTACTAACAATTAATACCCTATCAGAAATTGTGACCTGATTAATAATCATTAATTGAAATTTGTGACACGTGGCATCATACAAAAAATCAAAATTAGTTTTTGATGCCTTTTAAACTTTCACCAAAAAATATGCAATTACAAAGTCAAAACAAAAATTTTCGTTGACATGGAATTTTTATTACGAAGGATGAAAGCGAGAAGAAAGAGACAAAGAAATAAAAAAAAAGGAAAATAATTTCATCTTATGATATTTTTTTGAGAATAAAATGAGAAACTAGAAAGGAAAGAGGAAAACCCAAAATTAAAAGAATTGAAAGGCTAAAAAAATTGTATTTTAGCAAAATGATTTGAATATTTTTTTAATCATTTAAGGAGAAGATAGATCTTTGCAATTTCTCTTTTTTAATTTCAATCATTAAGGTGAAAATTTTTGTGGGAAAGAGGAAGAATTAAATAAAGAAGAAAGAGAAAAAGAAATAAAAGAAAGGAAAACAAGGTAAATGAAAAGTCAAAATAATGCAAGGGCAATTTTGTCCTAAAGGGGGTTAAGTGAGCAAAATTAAAGGTTAGAGGGTAAACTGAGAAATGAGGCATTCTTTAAGGGGATAAAATGTGATTAACCCTTAATTTTTCCCTTAACGTTATCTTTTAGTCACTTTACTCCCAAGATTAACGGTCAAATTTGACGGAATTTGTTAATTAAGGGTTAATCACATTTAATCCCCTTAAGGTATACTCCATTTCTCAGTTTACCCTCTAACCTTTAATTTTGCTCACTTAACCCCCTTATAGGACAAAATTGCCCTTGTATTATTTTGACTTTTCATTTACCTTATTTTCCTTTCTTTTATTTCTTTTTTTCTTTCCTCTTTATTTAATTCTTCCTTTTTTCCCCAAAAATCTTCACGTTAATGATTGAAATTAAAAAAAAAAAGGAATTGCAGAGATCTATCTTCTCCTTAAATGATTAAAAAAATATTCAAATCAATTTACCAAAATACAATTTGTTTAGCCTTTCAATTCTTTTAATTTTGGGTTTTCCTCTTTCCTTTCTAGTTTCTCATTTTATTCCCAAGAAAATATCATAAGATGAAATTGTGACCTGATTAATAATCATCAATTGAAATTTGTGACATGTGGCATCATACAAAAAATCAAAATTAGTTTTTGATGCCTTTTAAACCTTCACCCAGAAATATGAAATTACAAATTGAAAATAAAAATTTTCGTTGAAATGGAGTTTTCTATTGGGAATCATGAAAGAGAGAAGAAAGAGAAAAAGAAATAACAGAAAGGAAAACAATTTCATCTTATGATATTTTCTTGAGAATAAAATGAAAAATTGAAAACTCCACAATCCTCCACCGATTTAAAATTAGGGAAAGGGTGTATAACAGGCACAAATGATTTTCTCTATCACCCATAACTAGCTATGATGTTTCAAGATAAATCCATCACTCTGTGTGTGTGTGTGTGTGTGTGTTTCACACTTTTTCAAGCACCCATGCCAGTGTGCCAATATGTGTGTGTGTGTGTGTGTGCGTGTGTGTATAGATTGCATTTTTACTCCTCATAAACAAAATGATACACGAAAAAAATGAAGAGAGAGAGACAGAGAAAGAAAGTAATAGTGGCCCATTTCAAGAGTTTTTAGAGAAAAAATTGCTGTAGTATTTTTCTAAAATATGATGTACATAAAATAAGAGGTGAACGAGAAATACGTATTTTAAAAGAATATTTATAGAAATGTAAAATTGTTTCACAAAAAATAGCCTTCTGAAGAGACTTAAGATTGAGCACTGTACGGTCGCCGTTCCGGGCCTTAGGCCCAGCACCTATTCTTTTTTGAGCAATCAGGCCCAGTACCTTGTGTCAGGTAACGACTAATTACCGACTTAATCAGTCGGTTATGAGCGTTTAAACAATAAACTAGGCTTGGTGCCCCGCGGTTCCGCGGGGTGTCCATTATTGACTATCTTAGGGTAATATAAGATTTATTTACTAACATAAACTTAGAGTATTTTGTATGATAATAGAGTTGGAATAGTAGATAGAAGAGTGATATATTGGATTGATTTATTTATAAATAGATATAGTAAAATTGATGTGATTTGTATTGTGTTTTTTAAAATTAATATGATCTGAAAATTTGATGGGTAATGTTGGTTTCAAATTTTTTTTTATTTTAATTTAGTGATAAGTAAATATTATTTAAAATAATGGAATATATATTATTTTTTAAAGTTGATAGGATGAAAAATTAGGTGGAGAATTACATTAAGAGTGTTATAATTTATTGCACTTTGGGCATTGGTAGTTTATGTATTTTAGGATGATGATATTTTCATAATTTGGATAGCTAGGATGAGAGTGTGCATTGTTGCAGTGGAAAAGTCTATGGAAAGCATATAAAAGAATGAGAAGTTTGTTAAAAATTAAATGGATAATAGATATTTTTTTTGGCAAATTTTGATATAGTTTTGGTGTTGTGTGATGAGATAAATTAATAATTTGGAATAATTTGATATTATAGCTTGGTAAAATATGTGTTTAATAATTAAGTAGGTTTTTTAGATAAGTAAAGATGATATTGATTTAGTAGTTATGAATGAATGTGATTGAAATATATGGAAGTTGTATTTTTTTTAATTAATAGAATCTGAATAAGTAAAGAATAATATTAATTTTGAGAGCTAGGAGATTTTATATTAATAGTTTATTGATAAATGGATATTATTGAAAGTAAGGTGATGCGTATAAATTTTTTTTATAAGAAATAGAAATGATTGCACGTGAAAATTATAGAGTTTAATCACTGTAATTTGCAGTAGAATTTTTTAAATATTTATTGTTTGATGTTTATGTGACTTATTTTAGGTTACTTGAAGTTGTAGTGAATTTTGTATTGATATATAGATATAGGTATACAATATATTTTGTAATATGTATGTGTATATGTATATGCGTGTGTGTGTGTTTAGTATTTTATTTTACGTGATATAGTGCTTTAATTTTTTTAGTGTTTATATTTTTTGTGGTTTTGTTTGTTTGTTATATTTTTATTATTTATTTATTTATATGTGTGTGTATATATATATGTATATTCAATATTTTATTTGAGCTTGTATGATTGTTTAATATTGTTTTAGCGTGTCTATCTTTTCTAGTTTTGTTTGTTTGTTATATTTGTGGCATTCCTATTTGTCTTGTGATTCATGTGTCAATATGATTTTTTTTTTTGAGTTGCATCATGTATATTTTTGTCTATATATATATATATATAGGGCTGTGGTTTTAAGTATTTGTATGTAAATTTCTAGTAGTTTGGTTATCTTTATCATAGTTTTAGAGAAAATTTTGTCTTTTTTATTTTGCTTTTAAGTGGTATATTTTCTAATTTAAAAATTTTTGAAATATTATCGAAGTAACATTTTTTAAATTTACAAAAAATATCCTATATTTTAAAAAACAATTAGTTGTATAAATGCAAGCTAATATGAAGCGCACAATTGATTTATACTTATAATCAATATTTCTGTAGATATATATATATTTTGCAAAAAATGAATATATATATATATATATATAAAAGGGCACACAATTAATTATCACTTTGTATTGACTGCATTTATGTTATGTTGCTCAATCTTAAAATGCAAAACCTTTAAATTAATAATTCAGTAGTTAACAAATATTATGGAAGTTACAATTTTTAAATAGAGGGAAATTATCCTATATTTTTAAAAATCATTGATCGTATTAATGGAAGCTAATACAAAGTGGCACAATTGATTTATTATTATTAGATATACGCAAAATTTCTGTTGATATATATATTTTCTAGAAAATCATTATTTTTGTCGACATATATATTTTGGAGAAAATGAATATATATATATATAAAGGCACACAAATAGGATGCAAGAATATATATAGATTTGTATAGCCCAAAAAATTCACGTCTACATTAAGGAATGTAAGGTAGCGGCTGCACAGCTGCAACAAACAAAAGTAAAGAAACAATAATTAAGAGAGAATATCATCGAAGCAACATCTTTGAAATAGAGGGAAACTATCCTATATTTTTTAAAGCAAGCACTAATTAATCGTCATTTTTACAGAGAATAAAAGTGATGTCCTAAAGAAATACTATCAAATTAACATTTTTGAAATAGAGGAAAATTATCCTACATTTTTCAAAACAGGCGTGTAATTAATCATCAGTTTTATAGAGAAGCATCCATTTTTATTCGTTTATAGACAAGTATCTAATTAACTATCATTTCGTATTCACTACATCTATGTTACATCACTCAATCTTAAAATGTAAAAGCTTTAAGCTAATAATTAAATAATTAACAACTATTGTTGAAGTAGCATTTTTATATCAATGTAAGCAAATACAAAGTGACACAATTGATTTATATTTATTAGACACACAGGAAATTTTCGTCCATATATTTATTTTGTTGAGAAAATGAATTTTTTTTTATAGACACAAAATTTTCGTCCATATATTTATCTTGCCGAGAAAATCAATATTTTTATTGATATATAAATTTTGCAAAAAATTAATATATATAAAAATGGACACAACTAATATATCTAGATTTGAATAGCCAAAAAAATTTGCGCATTCATAAGGGAATTGAAGGTAGCACTAGCAGCTGCGGCCCTAACAAACAAAAGCAAAGAAACAATAATAAAGAGATACGACAAACTAAAACCATAAAGTGCAAATTTGAAATATTAATTACAAAGAAACCAGGACAAAAGGGCGTAATCAGAATATAAGGTGACAAAATCCAAAATGAGGACAACAGCAACAGCAGACAATCAACTCCATAGCCAGCTCAAAAGACACAAAAGTCCAAAATCAGCCACACAATTGCATTGAAACCAGGACAATTAACTGTAGATGGAGCCAGCAAGTCCAAAATCAGCCACACAATTGCATTGAAACCGGGACAATTAACTGTAGATGGAGCTTTACAGCTTTATGTGGTTTAAGGAAGATAAGATAACATTTATTATACGTTAATACAAAGCGGTATAGTTGTTTTAGATTTATTAGATATGCATAGAATTTTTGTTCATTTATAATATTACATGCACATAGGATTTTCATTCATTTGCATGTTAATACAAAGTAGTACAATTGATTTATATTGATTAGATACACATAGAACTTTCATTGATTTGTATATATTAGATACACACAGAATTTTCACTTATTTGTATATTTTTTAGAAAATTTTAGAAAATCAATATTTTGGTTAATATACACATTTCGGAGAGAGCTAATAAATATAAAAGGGTATGGAAAATTATAAACAGAAAAAGGCAGACAAAGAAAGTGACTGAAGATAGCAACAGCAGCAGTCAAAGATACAAGAAACAAAAGGACAAAATTGACTGCAAAATTACAAAGAAACCAGGACAGGGCACAATCGGAAGAAGAAGAGAACAAAAGCAGAAATGAGGAAAAGCGCACCAGGAACCATAGCCGCTGCATGGAGCCTTCCAAAAGACCAAAAAGGAAGAAATGAGCCGCAAAATCACAGCGAAACAATCAACTGTAGATGAAGCTTCCGCGCTTTATGTAGTTTAGATTAGATGAAGGAGCCAGAAAAATCCCGAAACTAGCTTCAACCCTCTTATCAGTCACGTAGTTCCGCACTCTACCTCTGCACCCATTATCCATTTTCAAGGTCAGTTTCTCCTTTTTTTTATTTCTTTTTATTTCTAGTTTTGTTTATAATCCTTTTGATTATCTTGTAGCTGGTTCTATTATTCTGGTGGATGCAAAATTCCATACAGCTCTGCCCTTTCGTCCATTCTTCCATTTTCAGTTGATGTTTATTTAACCATCATTTGCGTTGTTAAATTTGCTGAATCTTTTGTATTTCTTTATTCTCGGTTGCGTATCGTGGGTTAATTTTCGCCATTACTTCCAGATTTGTTTGTTTAGAGAGACGTATTGTGAGAATTAGGTTAGGGTTTCGATCAGGGTTAGGGTTAGGGTTTATTGTTGAAGCTCCAATTTCTGTATAACTTGAAGAGATGGACTCAGAAGGTAGTGAGATTAAGAGAACCCAAGAGGAGAGGAAGAAGATGGAGCAAGACCTGGCTTCCCTCACGTCAGTTACGTTTGATACCGACTTGTACAGCGCTGACCGTTTCGAGGGCTATGAGAGGTCAATTCCGGTGAATGACGATGACGACACAGCGGACGGTCCTGATAACGAGATAGCTCGGAAGCTGAATTCTTATACTGCTCCAAAAGAGTTTTTCAAGGATGCTCCGAGGCCCGGGAATGAGGATGACCTCGGGTTTAAGCAGCCGAGCAGAATTATTGACCGGGAGGATGAGTATAGGAAGAGGAGGTTGAACCGGGTGATATCTCCGGAGAGGGTTGACCCTTTCCTGGATAAAACCCCAGGGCCGGACATGAGGTCGTATGCTGATGTCATGAAGGAGGAGGCTTTGAAGAGGCAGAAGGATGATGTGCTGAAAGCAATAGCGAAGAAGAAGGAGGAAGAAGCAGTTAAGCCAGTAAGCAAAGAGAAGGAAGCGGAGAAACCCAAGAAGAGAAATCGGTGGGATCAGTCGCAGGATGACACTAGTGCAAAGAAAGCTAAGGGAGGTTCTGATTGGGATTTGCCGGATTCAACTCCTGGAATTGGGAGTGGTAGGTGGGATGCGACTCCAACACCCGGGAGGATTGGGGATGCGACTCCTTCTGTGAGGAAGAATAGGTGGGATGAGACTCCAACCCCTGGGAGATTGGCTGATTCGGATGTCACCCCTGCTGGGGGAGTTACTCCTGGTGCTACCCCTGCTGGGATGACTTGGGATGCAACTCCAAAGCTGGCTGGGCTAGCGACCCCTACACCTAAAAGGCAGAGATCAAGGTGGGATGAGACTCCTGCTACTATGGGTAGCGCAACACCGATGTCCAATGCTACCCCTGCTGCGGCAGCAACCCCTGGTGTGACCCCCTTTGGAGGAGCTGATCTTACTACGCCAACTCCAAGTGCTATTAATCTGCGGGGTGCAATTACGCCAGAGCAGTATAATTTGCTGAGGTGGGAGAAGGATATTGAGGACAGGAATCGTCCATTGACCGATGAAGAGTTGGATGCTATGTTTCCCCAGGAGGGCTACAAAATTTTGGAGCCCCCAGCTTCCTATGTCCCAATTAGAACTCCTGCTAGGAAGCTTCTTGCCACCCCAACGCCGATTGGCACACCTCTGTATAATATCCCTGAAGAAAATCGAGGTCAGCAGTTTGATGTGCCGAAAGAGATGCCTGGTGGACTGCCTTTCATGAAGCCTGAAGACTATCAATATTTTGGTGCACTGTTGAATGAAGAAAACGATGAGGAATTGTCTATGGAAGAGCAGAAAGAACGAAAGATAATGAAACTGCTGCTCAAGGTTAAGAATGGCACGCCACCTCAGAGGAAAACAGCTCTGCGGCAGTTAACTGATAAGGCCAGAGAGTTTGGTGCTGGGCCACTGTTCAATCGGATTCTTCCGTTGCTCATGCAACCAACATTGGAGGACCAAGAAAGACATTTACTGGTGAAGGTCATTGATAGGGTGCTTTACAAATTGGATGAGTTGGTGCGTCCATATGTGCACAAAATTCTTGTGGTGATCGAGCCGTTGCTGATTGATGAGGATTATTATGCCCGTGTAGAAGGTAGGGAAATTATCTCCAATCTCAGCAAGGCTGCTGGGTTGGCAACTATGATTGCTGCAATGCGCCCTGATATTGACAATATCGATGAGTATGTAAGAAACACTACTGCAAGAGCATTCAGTGTTGTTGCCTCTGCACTTGGAATTCCTGCTTTGTTACCTTTTCTGAAGGCAGTGTGTCAGAGTAAGAAGTCTTGGCAAGCCCGTCACACAGGTATCAAAATAGTTCAGCAGATTGCTATTTTGATTGGTTGTGCTGTTCTTCCACACTTGAGGTCTCTTGTAGAAATCATAGAACATGGTCTTAATGATGAGAATCAGAAGGTTAGAACTATCACAGCTCTTTCCCTTGCTGCTCTTGCTGAGGCAGCTGCCCCATATGGTATTGAGAGCTTCGATTCAGTGTTGAAGCCTCTCTGGAAGGGTATTAGATCTCACCGAGGGAAGGTTTTGGCAGCCTTTTTGAAAGCCATCGGTTTCATCATCCCTCTCATGGATGCTATATATGCTAGTTACTATACCAAGGAAGTGATGCATATACTGATCCGTGAGTTTCAGTCGCCTGATGAAGAAATGAAGAAAATTGTTTTAAAAGTTGTGAAGCAGTGTGTGAGCACTGAAGGTGTTGAGCCAGACTACATCAGGAATGACATTCTCCCTGAGTTCTTCCGCAACTTCTGGGTGAGAAGAATGGCTTTGGACCGCAGAAATTACAGGCAACTTGTTGATACTACTGTTGAGATAGCAAACAAAGTTGGGGTTGCTGATATAGTGGGTAGGATTGTTGAAGATCTCAAGGATGAGAGTGAGCCTTATAGGAGGATGGTCATGGAGACAATTGAAAAGGTGGTTGCAAATCTGGGCGCGTCTGATATTGATGCTCGCTTAGAAGAGCTGTTGATTGATGGGATTCTCTACGCGTTCCAAGAGCAAACCAGTGATGATGCAAATGTGATGTTGAATGGTTTTGGAGCTGTTGTTAATGCTCTTGGGCAGAGAGTGAAGCCTTACCTTCCGCAAATATGTGGGACTATTAAATGGCGTTTAAATAATAAGAGTGCAAAGGTCAGACAACAAGCTGCAGATCTTATATCAAGGATTGCTGTGGTGATGAAGCAGTGTGGAGAAGAACAACTCATGGGCCATCTTGGTGTCGTTTTGTACGAGTATTTGGGGGAAGAGTACCCAGAAGTTCTGGGATCAATATTGGGTGCTCTGAAAGCTATTGTTAATGTCATTGGTATGACTAAAATGACTCCTCCAATAAAGGATTTACTTCCTCGCTTGACTCCAATTTTGAAAAATCGTCATGAGAAAGTCCAGGAGAACTGCATTGATCTTGTTGGTCGAATTGCTGACCGTGGAGCAGAATTTGTTCCCGCCAGAGAATGGATGAGGATTTGTTTTGAGCTTCTTGAGATGCTGAAAGCCCACAAAAAGGGTATTCGTCGAGCAACAGTCAACACTTTTGGGTATATTGCAAAAGCTATTGGTCCACAAGACGTCCTTGCAACACTGTTGAATAATCTCAAAGTTCAGGAACGTCAGAACCGTGTCTGCACAACTGTCGCAATTGCTATAGTTGCTGAAACTTGTTCTCCCTTTACAGTTTTACCAGCGCTGATGAATGAATATCGTGTACCTGAGCTTAATGTTCAGAATGGTGTTCTGAAGTCCTTGTCTTTCCTCTTTGAGTATATTGGTGAAATGGGTAAAGACTATATCTATGCAGTTACTCCATTGCTGGAGGATGCTCTCATGGATAGAGACTTGGTCCACCGGCAAACTGCTGCTTCAGCAGTGAAGCACATGGCTTTAGGAGTTGCTGGACTTGGGTGTGAGGATGCTTTGATTCATTTAATGAATTATGTCTGGCCAAATATTTTTGAGACATCACCACATGTTATTAATGCGGTTACGGAAGCCATTGAAGGAATGAGGGTGGCTCTTGGAGCAGCAATCGTCCTTAATTACTGTCTTCAGGGGCTATTTCATCCAGCAAGGAAAGTGAGAGAGGTGTACTGGAAAATCTACAATTCACTATATATTGGTGCTCAGGATGCCCTTGTGGCTGCTTATCCGATGCTGGATGATGAAGAAAACAATGTTTACAGTAGGCCTGAGTTGGTGATGTTTGTATGAGGCTGGATCGTGTTTTAGATGAAGCTAGGGAAGGTCCAGTGGGTTAAATATGTAAGAGTGGCTAGCTGTTGCTTTTCGAGCTGCTGCTGGTTTTCTTTATATGCTCTAATAAGAGTTGTCTTGCGTTCTTGTAATTCTCTTGAATTCAGGAGTTAGATTTGAAAAAAATGTTCGTTGGGACTTCAACTATTAGAATGCTTAATCTGTTCTTGTGTGATTCAATGGTGCGAATTTTCTTTTTACCTAGCATAAATTTGTACTGCTGTTTTTTCTTGCTGACTTCTGCTAATGATGCATATGCTGCTTGTAGACTGTTTCTATTTTTTTTTTATTTTTTTTTATATACTTCGTTTCCCTGTTTTTCAGCTTTCGGTATGTACTAGGAGGAAAAACACCGCGCGACAATTGTTAGGCTCGATAAAAAATGCCCAGTTATTCAAATTTAGATATTAAGTATGAAAAGTTACATAAAAGTACAGTAATATCTTTGCGATTTTGTAATTTTATTAAGCAATGAAAATAAGTAATTTGTTAAGAAAATGCAAGACAATATAATAAGAAGATTACTGAGATCGTTATGATGTTCCTTGTTTCTACATACAATGTAAGATGTTCCTTGTTTGTGCGTAAAATGTGAGATGCAACATGTTTTTGCATACAATGAAAATAGAACAAACAAAAAAGACAGATATAATCGAGGCGGAGCAAAGTCTTCTGAACGAGATCTAAAATTAATACAAAGTTGAGACCAAACATAGTTCAGCCTCTGCCACAAAAGTTGCCCAAGGAATAACCACACACAGATGTACACAATTCGTAGATATAGCAATAATCCTTTCAAAAAGTTCTAAGCAATCTGTCAAATCTAGAATGGCAAATCAAGAAGGCAAAAAGTATCAAGTTCGAGTTGTACAAAAGTTGAATAGTATGAATTCAGCTTAATCTTGTTTCCTTGGTGGAGTAGCTGTCCATATTTTAAGAGTCATCTCCTTCCACATTATCTGCACCATCGAACTTTTTAGCGAGTCAAAAGCAAACTTTTGAAGAACCATTGGCTTCTGCTGCAGTCACGAGTTTTCCTGCAATTTGCTTCTAGGAAAAGACAAATGTGTATTACAAGTTCAATTGAGTGTTCATGTACTTGGAGTCGTGCTCCATAATCTTAGCTTGATGGCTAAGTGACAGTAATTTTTTAACAAAAAGTTACCCGTTTCATGTCAAAGTAATTCATATCCACTCTCCAAGTGTATAATACTAATTCAAAATTGCAAACTGACATTCACAGGTTCTACATTGTTGTGTACTGGGGGAGTAAGGGAGTAATTTAATCTTAGAAACCTCATTCATTCTGGCCACAATCCAATAGCTAATATTTCCCCAACTGCTAGTTGGTAACATTTGCTCATAGAGCAGAAATTATTGTATATGAGACAAAAATAAAGGGAATGCTGCCATTGCCAAGCAGGCAATGCAGATTTACTTTTATTTAAAAGCTTAATATTGCTCAAAGCAGCAGTTGTTGCAGATACAAGCCTCTCTCACATGGCAATGTCCAATCAGCAGGCATTTAATGGAGTACAAAAGCAACAAAATGTTTGTTAATATGGTAATGATTTGTAATTTTTAACCTAATTGTTTACCTTAAAAGATAAGCAGCTGAACAGTACATGTATTATATGGCAGGTTAGAATACATCAGGAATTGTAGTTGATTACACATCCATTTAGACTGGACTTTTTGCATGATATCTGGCAAAAAAAATAAAAAAAATACTGATTTATCAACTATCCTTTTACCTAGTCTTTGATGCTCAAACTAAACGGCAACTAATAGTCAAATGGCACAATTAATTGCATGAAATTTTGACTTTTCCTAGCTATATTTCAGTTTCATGAACTTATTTTGGTCTACAAGTTTTCTGATGATTTCATATTGGAACCAACATAGCTACACCCAAAACAGAAATTCCTAAGAAGTTCAACTCCCAAAATTTACATCTAAGCATAAAGTAACAAATTATATTCAAAACAGTTAAAAAAAAAAACCTAGCAAGATAAGAAAATAATGCTAGAAAAACTAACCTATATGTAGGAGGAGCAACTGATGGCAGAACTGAAGCACAGCTAAAATTCCCAAAACAAAATGATGCTGCAAAAGTTATTGACGTTTAAGATATGAGTTCAAAGTTTTAGAAAAGGTAATAAAATTTGAAAGTTGTTTTAAAAAAAAAAATGTAGACATTGGTACTCTTGAGAACATATAATGTTAGTTCAGACCTCACTGTAAGTTGTTAGTGTTACAGAATCAATACCACTTTATACCACTTCAAAATTATTTCCTCATAACCATTATTTCATCTGCAATTTTATTCTTTGTATACCAGTGAAAAATGCAAAGGCAGAGACATGAACAAGAACCAAGAAATTTATGATTTCAGTTATTTTGAAAAACCCAAGTAACAACTAAATAGGAGTTGAGAATTTGAGTATTCATTGTCAAGAAACCGTCAAAAATTCCTTGCCTTCCAGTAAGAGGACCATTCTCAACAAATCTATGATGTGTGACAGACTTATACAGTATCAATGTTAGTTGAATTCCACAAATTTTTTGAAATTGCTAGCTTTATAAGTATTTAAACATCCTAACAACATAGAGCTCTAATCAAAGATACCCATAAAAGAAACTAAAGTGCATTCAACATCACTAACCTTCTTCCATTTCTACATCCTCAGTCTTATGAAACCAGCATATAACCAAAATCATCACTTTACTCAATCAATTTACATGGGTTTTACAGTAAGACCAGGGGCATAGAGAAACTTAGCAGAACAAATCATCATAGAGATACTTAGTAGAACAACCAATAGGCATTGACAAAGAGAGAAACAAGAAGAAAGCAAATAATAAGCAAGTGTAAAGTGAAAGGCAATCAAAGATATTCATCTTAAAAATTGGTCTTAAATTTTGTATCAGCGTTGCTCCTATTTAATATTCACAAAAATTACATGAATTACTGAATTTTTTGCTACTACTTGTTTAATCAAACTTTTGATATCTATTCTATTCCCATTAAAAAAATATTGATCCAAATCCAACAAAGTAGGCCCCAAGATGGAATTTCACCCACATGGCCAAAAAATGTTGCCCAAAAAGTATAAAAAAGTTGGCTGCAAAAAGACAAAAAATGTCAAAATCATTACCAACTAACTAAAACAATTTAAGAGAAATAGCCAATCCATACCCTTTTACTTTGAATTTCTTGATTGTAAAGAGTTGCTGGCAATATCAAAAGGAAATAAAACTTTCCAAGAATATGAAAAAACAAGTTAAACTATTTCACCTAATGAAAAAATCATAAGTTCCGATGCAAGGGTAAACCATAGAAAAAAAGGAAGAAACTTTTGAGAGCTAAAAAAAAGAGATTATATGAACAATCATGAAAAAATGGTTCATTTCTCTAATTCTTAAAAATCCATGGAACCAAAAAGAATGCATTTTGTGAGCTACGAATTCAACAAACATTTTTGGAAGAAAACACACGAAATGGTTAAAAAGAAAAACCTGCCATCAGTTGCTGTTTTTCCTTCTTTTTTCCAAAGCTTCTCCAGCCTTTTATGTTTTTTCCCCTTCTTTTTTAATTTCATATTTTTTCCTTCTCTAGCCTATTTTTGTTCTTTCTCAAGGTTCCTGGCCAAATTTCATCTAACCACCAAGTACAAACCTTACCATACACCACCAAAAGGTCAGGGACAAATATTGAAACTATCAGCTTTTAAAAGTTTTGTTGAATAAAGATTGTTTTCGAAGTTTCTAATCTCCTTTTCAATGATTCACATGAACCAAAACCATATGAGGAGGAAAAGAGAACACAAGAATGGAATGGTAGTATGTGTGTGGAAATCAACTGCTAAGCATCATCAGCTAAACAAAGAAATGGAGCACTAATAATCTAGAGACAAACCTTTGTAGAAAAGCCCCTCAATCAAGTCCTTTGGTAGGGGATTCATCCCATTAGGGATATACAAGGGGTTATTAACAATCTACAAAAAGTGCAAATCTCCAATTACAAATGACTATAGAAACCAGTAAATGAACAAGGCACAAAAAGAATAACAAGCATTCCTGTTCTTTACAGGACATTTTTACGTGAGGAGGCAGTGGGAATACATTATCATGCGTATGAACCCAACTACCGACATGTCAGCAGCTTTGGTATGATAGGTTGAACCTAATTATACCCAAAATCATGATCAGACATTCTGGAAATTCTTCAACAACCACACAACAAAAATAACCTTTTTCAAATTCTGTCTTTCTGGTGATAACTGGGCATGATATACAAGATGAAAAAGCTACAGTCAATTTAGTGAGACAGAGCTCTTATAGAGAGGAATATACAACAACATCCAGATGTCAATGTGCAGGCATAGACACATAGTTCTTCTACCAAGTAAGGATCTATCTTAATGAAAAAATATTGCGAAAACTGCAGTTCATTACCTTAACAACCTGATTAACACTAAAATCACCAATCTTCACAATCCCAGAAGCAGCTACCAAGAGATTATCAGTTGTAATATCACCATGCACTACATTTTGTGAAATTGGAAAGAAATTAGTGCAAAACATTAGAACATTTTAATGTTAAGCAAATGATATAGAAGACAAAAGCTTAGGTTAAGTTGAATACGTAAGATGTCATAGGAGAAAACAAATGGTCATTATCTTCAGCAAATTATAGGCACATAAGTAGGTGAAATAATTTACAAGAGCACTCAAGTTTTGAGACTTTAATCTTACCAGAGTCTTAGATGAAGGTAAGAATACCATAAACTATCTACAACAGAACAACATCATGGAAAAAAAATTTCCTAGATGATTCAACTTGAAAAATTATTTGAGGTAAGCTATAAGCTTAAGTAGCAATCCGTCAAAGGGGAAGAGCTTATATTGCCTTATAGACAATGCAATAATTAAGAAGAATACAAACTGTAAAACCATGTAAAACCCACAATTGGCAAGGGTAGTCTTAACACAAGTTAGGATACTACCTAATAATAATAAGTTTTTGTGATTACATCTCTAATAGACCTTAATCGGGAAGCAACAATATGCATTGGCAAGTAGAAGACAAAAATGGAAATCCTATCCCTTACAATGCTTGGTAGTGAACAAAACTGAAATATGATCATCAACTATCACTAAGAAGCTCTATTTTGGATGGCTTTGAGCTCAAAACTACCACAAAGAAGA